AAAACCTGGAAAGACTTACGTGGTCTGATGCTGAGTGAAGTGAGCAGAACCAAGAGGACTTTGTACACAATAACAGCCACATTATGTGATGACTAATATTGTTAAACTGAACCCTTCTCAGCATTACAAGGATTTAAGACATCTCCAGAGGCCTCGGGATGGAAAATGCTGTCCACATCCAAAGAAAGAACCATGGAAGTCGAATCACTCTCACTTATTTTTACCTTCTGTTGAGTTTTGTTTCATTCTTTCTGATGGTTCCTCCTATTCGTTTTAATTTTTACTTTACAAATTCACTAATGTGAAAATATGTTTCATGAGTATGTAAATGTAAACCCTATATCAGAATGTGTGCCGTCTTGGGGAGGGTGGGGGGGAGGAAGGGGGAGAAAAATTTTCAACTCAAAAGCATATGGAAGTGATGTTGATAAATCAAAATAAATTAATAAAATTTAAAAAAACAAACAAAAGAAATAATGTCAAATTTAATTTGTTTTAGAAAATTACTGACCCCACATTCTGGAGGGAAGTGGTAGATTTACTATACTGTAACTTTTAACAAGTCTGATACATACATTAAAAACAAGTAAAATTGATCTAATAATGTACACTGTCCTTTGTATGTAAGTAGGATGTTTGTGAGTCAGCTGCAAGCTTTCATTTGTTTTCTTGGTAGCAATGCCATATTTGCACTGATCCTCTATAGCCTCTCACCCAGTCCTTTTCATGACCTAGGATTAGCAATATAGTTGTGATCATAAAACTAGCAATGCTAACAAGTTCCTACTCTAGTTATACCCCAGAATAATTGGAATGTGGAGCAAATTGTCTTTAAATTTGTATTTACAAAGCAAAGTTAAAGCAGTTATAATATGAGATTAGGAAAAAAAAAACCATCAAGTAGAATTCTTCAGTTTCATTCTGAACTCAATTGTCAAGATTTTTTGCTAAAGACTGTTGGGGGAGGCAGCTAGATGGCACAGTGGATAGAGCACCGGCCCTGAAGTCAGGAGGACCTGAGTCAAATCCGGCCTCAGACCAAACGCTTGACACATACTAGCTGTGTGACCCTGGGCAAGTCACTTAACCCCAAATGCCTAAAAAGTAAAAAAAAAAAAAGACTGTTAGGAGAGAATATTCTTGTAAAGTCTGTAGACAGGCATCACCTCTTACTTTTACAGGGTAGGATTAAAACATGTCACTTATTTGCCAAGTCTGAAGGAAGGACAAGATATGGTTAGTTCAAACTTCAACAAAAGGTATTTGTTTTTAAACACTGAAGCAAAAGTTTGACAGTTATTTCAGTTAAGTTCATGAAACACTTTATTAGGAAGGTCATAACTTCTTCGCTGGATATTTTCCAGAAATTATTAGAATAAAGGCTAGGAGAATTTGGTTTACATATTTGAATTCTCCTTAATGGTGAGACTTAGTAAATCTTATAACACTGTGATTTTGAGATCTCTTCTAGACTTGGTTTTCAAAATATTCTATGTAACTTAATTCTCTTTTACAGTAGTATCTTATTTCCTATCAGTTTGTCTACAGAGAAGATGTATATGTGTTTTCAAGTTTCAGAGCTTTATTCCTATATAAGTTTCTTATGCCTTTAATTTTGACAAAGAAAATGTTGCCTAAGCCTTTCTTTCTTTTTTTTTTTTAAATTTAAAAAACAAAACAAAACAAAACAGATACTAGTCATTCCTCTGGCTCCAGAGGAAAAACTGTAGGTCCCAACTTATACTACTAAAGATAGAAGTTTTCCTACCACCTTGACCTTAAAAGAGGCAGCCCAGAAGAAGAGAGAGCCAGCTATAGAGAGGAGAGGGGTACAGCCAACTGGAGAGAAACCAAAGAAACGTCTTAGAGACAGTACAAGGTCAGCGGAAGAAAGCAGTGTGACTTCAGTGTACTAGACAAAGAGCCTTCCATTGAAATCAGCAGATCCAAGCTGGCTTTGTAAATTTTCACTGAGTCAAATGCCAGGATTACCAATGTCAAGGTGAAACAAGGAAAAGGTTTGGGATAGAAAGTAGTGATATGCCCTGATGCACTAATGGGAGAGATGAAATATTAGTTTAAATTAATTTAAAGTATATTCTTCAAATAAGAAGTTATAGATTGATTATTGTTGTATAAACAAAGTTTTTGGCTGTCAATTCCTAAAAGGATTAGACTTTTAAAATTAATTGCAAGTAAAATATTAGTCAGTTGTCTATAGTTCCAGAAAATTTGGTATGACATAAAAGCGCCTTTATAAATTATTGAACTGTAAAATAATTGAACAAGGGAATTTTGTTACTAAACTTTGGTTCCCTGTTGAACAATGCAATAGTATGTGTAGCTTTTCCCTCAGATGCATTTCCTTGCATGTTTTCTTCTTAACAGGTAATAAAAACCATATAACCTAACTTGCCTCAGCTTCCAGAAAGCTCAAAAGTACATTCAGTGTACAGCTGCATTCCAGGTACACACATATTTTGGCTTTTTTTGGACTACTTTTTGTCGTATTGTGTTTTTGTTTTGAAATTTACCTATTTTATATGTTTTAACTTTACTTGCTGCCTGAAATCCTTTTGGAAGTAAGTGAAAGTTATAAATCATAAATGAATGAATCAAGCAAAGAAATAAAGAAATGAAACAGACATCTTAAATATTATAGGTACTGCTAAAGCCAATAATGAAATGCTGCTTGATGTTTGCTTAGACATAGAAATGTACTGGGAAGTTATTAGCAAATTTTGATTGGCACTTCAGTGGATCTATGATCTCATCCAGGTAGGCAATTCTTGCGACAGTGCAGATTAGAACCACTTGCCCGCAGCATATCCCATACAACTCTTGTCCGTATCCTCCTAGAAATCCTCTGTAAAGGATTTACCCAATTTCTGAAGGTCTTACTTTTGGCTTTTTGATATTCTATGAGTATCAGAATGGCACTTGGGTTGTTCTGTTCACCCTTGTTAAATGACCAGTCCATTTATTTTTCTAATCATATATTTCCTAGATAATATCTTTCTTTTAATTTTAATTTTTTTTAAATTTTTAGGCAATTGGGGTTAAGTGACTTGCCCAGGGTCACACAGCTAGTACGTGTCAAGTGTTTGGTCTGAGGCCGCATTTGAACTCAGGTCCTCCAGCCTTCAAGGCCAGTGCTCTATCTACTGCGCCACCTAGCTGCCCCAAGATAATATCTTTCAAGCCACTTTTGCCATTCAACAATGTTGATAATGTACTGAAACTTACTTATACCCATCACTCTTTTCTGACCCTTTGGATCATCTGCAGTTTTGATTCTTCAGAAACTGTTCCATGATTCATAGCTTTATAGCATCACCAGGAAAAAAAAAGTGCTGTTAAAAATATTTTTTTTTGCATATGTCAGGGAGAATCTTGGTATTATTAAGATTGCTGTATAATTTCCTAAATGTAATCTGTGACTTTCTTCACTCTATTCAATTATGAGCCCACTGTCCATTAGTAGCGATTGCCCAAGATAAACGTACTGATGGCCTAATTCAATGGGCTGCTCGTCTAACTGCATTTTGTAATCTAGACAATAAACATTCATCATCCATTTGGTTTTTCTTGCTTTGAACTCATTTGAGCAAATCTCATTGAAGAGGCCCAGCCGTATTCTGGGACTTACATAATATCTTTCAAGAACAGCCATAGGAGGAACTTTCAGTGATTGGATGCTTCAGGTCAACGGTGAACAACACGAGCATGCATACCCCTCTGTGTTTGACACCTTGCCTGATACTGATAAGCAGAAGACCATTGAATCAAGTTAGCTATTTGGTTTGATCACTCCATGATCTTATATTCTTTAAACATATACATGGGAAGCCACTTTTAGAGGAGGTTCTTTCAGCCCATATTTCAATATACCAAGTTATTAGCAAATAATAAGCACAACAGGTTCTTGTATATATTCTCTATGCCTTTCGGTCATCATGCAACTGAGTGGTTTGCTAAAGAAAATATTTTTGAAAATTTGCCTGTTCTCTTCTTATATTTTCATTGAGTACCCTTGACTTATATGTAGGTCATTCTCATAAAGATGTCACTGAACTTTTTGACTCCACAGTTCCAGGGTTGTACTGTGTAGTGTTTTGTCAGTCTTGGAGTCAGAAAGACCCAGGTTCAAGTCCTGCCTCTTACACACACCAGCTGTGTGACTTGTTGGTCATTGGACAAGGATAGCTCACATTTAGGGTAAGACAGTTAAATGTATGTGTCTAGATGGTTTTTAGTACTGGAATTCTTAGCATACTCTGACTCCTTTTGTAGGATTATAGATTTAGAGCTCGGAAAAAATAAACGACAAATAAATATACATGTAGTGCTTACTATATGCCAGGCACTGTGTTAAATGCTTCACAATTATTATCTCCTTTGATCCTCACAATAACCCTGGTAAGTAGATGCTATTGTTACCCCCATTTTACAGATGAGGAAACTGAGTTGATTGGTTGGTTGTTGTCCTTCATTCTCAGACATCACTATGTCAGAGTCACCAAAATGATATCACTATGTTGGAGTCAAGGGACAGTGTGTCCAACTATGGCATAGCACTGGTAGACTGTCCAGGTTTCATAGGCGTACAACAATGAGGCCAGCACAAAAGCTCTGTGGACCTTCAGTTTGGTAGTCAGTCTAATACTTTTTCTGTCCCAAACTTTTCTTTGGAGCTTCAAAAAGGCTACAGGCCAAGACTAAGGTAGAGGGAGAGTTGGTGCATGATTTTTTTTGGTTGTTGTTGTTGTTGTTACAGATGATTGTGCACTCAATGCAGCCTCTGAAGCTGAGATGCAACAAAGTGTGGATTCATTCTCTCCTGCTTGTGCTAATTTTGCCCTAACAATGAACACCAAGAAAACGTAGGTTTTCCTCCAGCCAGCACCACACCATCCATACGTGGAACCATCAGTTACAGCAAATGGAGATTTTGAATACTGTGGATAAGTTCACTTACTTTAACAGTATACTTTCCAGGGATGACGAGGTTGACGTACTCATTGCTGGAAACTAAGGTAAATAGAGGTCAAATGACTTGCCCATGGTCACACATCTGAACTCAGGTTTTCCTGACCCCACGACTGGCACTCTATTCATTGCTCCACCTCATTCAGAGGCCATTTAGTCTAGCTCCTTCATTTGGAAGATGAGGAAAGCAGAACTTAGCCAGGAAGGTTAATCACTTGCCCCAGGTCATAGAGGTAGTAAGTGGAGAAGCAGGCTTTGAACCCAGGTCCTCTGACTCTGGGGCCAGAGTTCTTTCCACTGATCTATGCTGCCTCCTTGAGGTTTAGGGATTGGGGATGGGTAGGACTGTATTTTTTCTTTGTTTTTTGAGTTGCAAAGATTTTTTAACCTAGCGGTCAACCTATTTATTTCGCTCGGCTTGGTCCTTATACAGCAGAGAGAATTTGTCACTAGGAACATTTCCAGTTTAATAGAACTTGCTAGCTTGCGTTCAAGTATCAGTCCTTGAGAACCTAGCATTGCTTCCACGTCATAATTCATCGTTGAGAATAGGACTTTTGTGAACAGGGCTAATTCAGAATAGGACTAAATAGATTCAAGAAACATTTATTGATTACTTAGCATATACAAATAAATAGGCCCTGCCCTCCCACAGTCTATAGTCTACTGGATGTACACAACATGAAATACGAAGTCATTCTAGGAACCGGAGAACAGTCACAAATGGAAGCCTAAGGAGAGGCCTTCCATTGGAGGTAGTGCCTGATCTTTGCCTTGAAGGAAGCTAAGGATTCTAAGATGTAGAAGGGAGAAGGGAGTTCCTGCCCAGCTTGGAGACAGCCTGTGGAAAAGCCTGTGAGTATTAGGTGCAATGCTTTGTTCAGGGAACATCTAGTAGGCCAGTTTATCTGGACTATAATGACTGTGAAGGGGAATTAACGTGAAATAAATATGGAAAGGTGGGTTGGAGCCATGTTGTGAAGGGCTAATGTCAGAGAGTAGCCTGGAAATCACTATATTGCACCCATATTGTTGGTTTTGTTCCCAACCAAATAGCTTATTTATTTAACAGATGGCTGATGTCCTCATTAGGGCCTTGTTAGCATTATTTGTTAAGCCTGACAAAGTGTTGTTCATTGACCTTGAGAGACTACAACCGTTGCATATACAATATGGAGAACTGGGCAGTCTAGCTAGCAGCTAGTAGCAGGAATGATACTACGGTATTAGACTGTTAAATTCTGTGAATTTCAGAAGTATTCATTCTTAGAATTTGTGCCTAAATTTATTTATTTCTTAAATTTTGAATTCTATTAAATTTCCATTTAGTAAGGGATGTTTATTATGAGATTTGCTATCCCTTCACTATTTTACATTTGCAGTTTTAGTCTTTGACAGGCTGTTTCTTCCCCATCCCAACCTTCCAGGTACATTTACTGAAATTAGGGTAGATTATCATAATGTGGCTTTTGTGGCTACTTTTAGGCCCTCAGAACTTCAACATGCATGTTTTACCAGAAATCAACTGGATTTTTTTTAACTGTTTCTCTTTTGTGAATGTCAGGGAAGGAAGAAGTGATTATTCTCTTTACCCCTAACACCAGCCCCAACCCCTGCCCTTGTTGATGTAGTCATAGAATATAGTCATACTGTTGAGATTTTAACAAGGCATAACGCCCTGCAATCCCTTTGTGAGACAGTTAATTCTCTGTTGATTGAGCCAAGAAGGGAGAAATGTGATTGGCTGATGAAATACATTAGCTACAACTCTGAAGGCTTTAAATATTTAAATTGTGGATTAAGTTCAATAGTTGGAGAGTGAGAGAGACTGCAAGCCAGAGCTACCTGTGGAGGTCTTGAGATGCCTGTGAGGGGAAGAAGGAAATTCTCCGTCTCTCTCTCCCTGCATCTTGGCCGTGTAACTTTGAAGAGGGACCATCTTCAGACACCACATCTAGCAAGGAGCGAAGACATATATCCCAGACAGATCTGAATACAGTGACAGACAGACACTCAACACAGTATAACTCCAGATTTGTATTGGAATGCTCCTTTCTAACTTACTCTAAATCATATCTTATAGTCAAATCTTCCTGAGACTTCAGGCCAACTTAATGTTAAAAATACTTGTATGTGCTGTCCTCAGCTGCTGGCAGCTGCTGTTCTTCCCCAGTCTTTCTTTAATCAGCCACCAGAGGTACATTTGTTTCTCTGCCATCAGAAGAGATAAACACATTTCTCCTGTTTACTTTCCTACTCCTTTTGCTCCTCTCTCCTTTTCCCCTCTGTGCCATAGATTGAACAAAAAGAAAATCCATGCAGAGCATCTCTGTGAATAGCATAATACTCACTCCTTTTTCTCTAGCAAGAAGGTATTCATTTTCTACTTTCCTTAGTAACTGGCGCCTATGCCAGGGTGCTTCTGCCAGGATTCCTTATCTTCTCTCTAATTATCATTTATTCCAGGGCCTGAGGTGATCATAGTTTTAGGGAGACAGATAACTGACAGAATGCTGACGAAGATCCCTGCTCCCCACTCCACCATCAGGTGTCTGATCTCTGACTGGTGTCATTTTTTCCCACTACCCAAGAGTCTTAGAATTAATAATGGTCCCAGCAAAAATCTTTGAGAAAGGATGGTGCAGGAGAGAGGTAAGAGATTTGAGTGCTGGTCACAGAGTCCTGTCAAAGTCTGTATGTGAGTATACCAGGTTTGAATGCTCACCCTTTCCTCTTGTTTCCGCTTCAGGACTGGACTGTACTTTCTTCCTTGCTTGGGGTAGAGAGTCTGGCTGGGGTGGAGGGTGGTGGTGGTATGGATGTACTTAGCTGCTGCTGGGTGAAGGTGAGTGATTGAATGGCCCCTTTGGGATAATGACAACTAATGTTGGGAATCAGGACTCTATGATTTCAAAGTCAGCTAGGAGTTCTTGGCCTCCTGAATGGTTACTGGGACTTGTGTTCCTATCTACAGTCCGGAGAGCCTTGTCTAGAGAGCTGGATCAGACTGAGAACTAGAGCAGCCAATAGGGAACCACAGTGTAGAGTGCTAAGTCTGGATGGTGAGCAGGAGTAGTTCCCAAAAATCTCAGTGACCGGGACAAAGGTTCAGAGACAATTTCAAACCCTGCCATTTCTCCCTGGTTTCTAGTGCGGTTCCTGCCCCCAAGAGTGGCCCTGTTCAATACCTTCCTTATCCCTTTTATTACTTATATGAAGAGGTGGTATGAAACTGTTCCCTAAAGCACACCAAAGAAATGGGAGGGTTAGCAGGAGGAGGTTTCAAGGTGGTTGATATTTTATTTGGAATTTCACTTTCATGTAATCACAGAAGAATTGCTTGTGAATCATCAGTATAAAGAAAGGACAAAGAGTAGGAGGTTTCCTAAAGGCAGAATTGGGGCTACTGCCTTAGAGATGGCCATATTTTAATAATCCTGAACCATATTTCATATGATGCCCTAGATTCATTCAGAACTTGGCTCATCCAAGGTTTCTTTTTTCCCCAAGTCTTTGAAAACAAGAGGCTTGGAGAAATAGGACTGCTTGTAGGTGTGCCTAGAGAGGATCTTTTGCATGTATATCAAAGCATAACACCTGATAGACAAAATTATTTTTTTAATTAATTTTTTATTTTTGCTAGGCAGTGGGGTTAAGTGACTTGCCCAGGGTCATATAACTATTAGTGTCAAGTCTCTGAGGCTGGATTTAAACTCAGGTCCTCCTGACTCCAGGGCTGGTGCTCTATCCACTGTGCCACCTAGCTGCCCCATGATAAACAAAATTATAAACTACATTCCCTTACTGCTTAATGGTAAAGTAACAACTTTTCTTTCTGTAGGCTGACAGAGGCAGGTTCCCTGTCGATCTGAGTTGGTTTCATTAGTGCAGTCCCCCAGATGTCACCTGAGACACCCACTACATATTTGCTTCCACAGCCTATACCGTTTTCATACTTAAAAAAGAAAAGAAACAGCCCTATCTGACTGTTCCCTTGGCATATCCAGAAGTAATATTAATAGCTAGCATTTATAAAGTGATTTAAGATTTGCAAAGAGCTTTACAAATATCTCATTACAAATTATCTCCTTTGGGAGATAAGTACCATTATTTTCCCCATTTTACAGATGAAGAAACCGAGGCAAACAGTGATTAAGTGACTTGCCTAGGTTCACACAGCTAGGATGAGTTTGAGGTGGGATGGAGCTCCAATTGAACTCCACGCATCCCTCTTTGCACTGTAGTACCCCCTGACGCCTCACTGGCTGGGCGTAACTTGAATCTCTATACAGTGCTTCTGTAACGGTGAGGTTGAAATTGTTCACTTGTTTAGGTTATGTCCGGCTCTTCTTCATGACCCCATTTGGAGTGTGCTTGGAAAAGATACTGGAGTGGTTTGCCATTTCCTTCTCCAGCTCATTTTAAAGATGAGGAAACTGAGGCAAATAGGTTTAAGTGACAGCTCGTAAGTGTCTGAGGTTAGATTTGAACTCAGGAAGAGGAGTCTTCCTGACTCCAAGTCCAGCCTCTGTCTACTGTGTCACCTGGCTTACCTTGTTTAGTCGCCCTGTTTAGCCTTGATACATTTTTCCTTAGTGAGAACACAGCTCATGTGTTCGGTAGGTGTGAACTATGGCCAGTCTCCTTAGTTATGATAGGAAATCTGTTCAAATTTGCTGAAGGACTAGTTTATGCTTTCTGGAACCTGCATAAAAACCAGTTAAAATCAAGAACTGAGTGTCTGGTGGAGGGGAGGAGAGAGCGCTGCCCTGAAAAGGAATCGCCTATACACTTCCTTGGTCAGAAAAAGATCTTGTGAGATCTGAAGGGTCCACAGGATTTTAAACCTCCCATCTCTCTACCAGCACCCTAAGCAGTGTCTCTAGAACAGCTGGTGGCAGTATCTACACTGGGAGCCAAATACAGACTTCATAAAATGAGTAAAGGAGAATCTAAGCTCCCCCAAGAGCCCAGAAGAAAACCTTCACCATATATCCCTGAAGGAAACTTTTTTAATGTTCCAGCAAAAGGACTTTCAGGAGCTGTGAGTTTACTCCTTTGCTTCATATGCCCTCTAAGCTTGAGCCCCTTTCCCTTGGACTCTATGTGTTGTTGGAACAGTAGGTCATAGACTTCTAGGGGAATGTTTTGTACCAACTCTTACCAAAACACCTCTTCTAAAAGCTAACTGAGGCTAGTTGGCTAGTGAATATCAATCAATAATCATGAATTTGTGAAAATGAGGAATGAGTCAAAGCTAATTCAAAAATTTTGAATATGGGTGACTAGGAAGGATGGTGGCAGATGCCAACAACAGAAACAGACAAATTAGGAACAAGTTTATGATGAATTCAGTTTGGGACATATTGAATTCAAGATATGGGAAGAAAATCCAGGTGTAGCCATCTGGCAAGTGATTAGAGATGTGGGACTGGGTTATTACAATCATCTCCTTAGAGACACTAATTGAACCCCTGGAAGTAAATAAGATCACTGAGGGAAACAGTATAGAGGAAGATCTCTCCTTGGGACTCACCCACACTTAGAGGTTAAGAGGAGGAAGATGAACCAAAGGAGGAGATCAAAAAAGTAGAGGTTCTTTGAAATTATGTGATTGTTATATAATCTAAATCTATAAAGTGGGACAGTCATTTCAATTCAGAATTACTGAGTCTTCATTTGTACTAGAACTTCATGACCCTGGCAGTAGAAAATAGAACACATATCTATTTTCCAGAACTGACACATAAAAAGGTCTTTTGCTTCATTCAGTTATTCCACAGATTTTTGAGACAGGGTCAAGTTTAGAACCCAGTTTTTCCAGTTCCAAATCTAGCACTCTTTCTGTATTACACTGATACTCCATTTTAGAATTTGAGATAAGGAGAGGAATGGTAGACATAGTCTGACATACACTCTAGATCAGAGGTTCCCAAACTTATTTGGCCCTTTAAAAAAACTACTCAGCATCTCCCTGGATATCTACTTTCTTTAGCCCATTAACATTTTTTTTTTTGAAATTTGCATCATTTAAAAAATCTTAAATTTAATCTTACATTTAATAATCTTAAATTTAATAATTTATTAATAATTTGTGGGTTTTTTTCTGCATTGAAATTTTGATGACACAATATTGCATCATATAACTATATAGTATCATATTATAAATAAGTCATTATATGCACATATTCCTGCCAATGCATACTGGACTTCCCGACAATGTGCGACATACTTGCCTGCCAACACTTGCTTGTTAAGATATGTCAGTGGACTTGACCACTGATCTGTTATTTTGCATTTTGTGTTTATTTGGAAAATAAGGTAATCACTACCACTTTAACTCTGTTACACCACAGATGAAATATGTACTAACGGTTTTTCAAAATTTTTTTGCCTTCTCTTCTTTCCTCATGTTTCTACTGCCCCCCTTATTGTTATTCCACACCCCTCCAATTGCACCCAAGGCTACTACCACTCCCCCACTCCCCAGCCCCACTCCACCCCTGCCTGGATCAGTCCAGCAGTCCTTCAGGGGGTAGTATTGCCCACTTTGAGAACCTATGGGAGAAAGAATCTCAGAGTTCAAGAGATGTAGATTGGATCCTATGGCCTAAAATTCTATAGGGAAAGTAATCCCAAGAAGGATGAGATGCTCTCAACAACAAAATTCTGATAACATAAACAAAGAATTCCAGTGAGGAAGAAAAGGGAGAACTGTCTAAAAAGAACAATGCATTTTTAAATGGAATTCACTGATCAAATGAGATTTCAAAAAGATGTGTAGACAATGAAAGCAAAGTAATTAGGAATGAATATAGAAGTGTATAATAATGGCTTTGCTACCTGTGCAATCTCAGACAAGTCCCTTCATCTATCTGGACCTCAGTTTCCTCATCTGTAAAATGAGAACATTGGAATAAATGATCTCTTAAGTCTCTTTAATACTAAATCTATGATTCTATGATGATCCTATGACATTCTTCCCAAAGTTTCCATTTTTTCTATTTGGGCAGTAAGTAAGCATTTATTTATTTATTTATTTTTTTGCTTTAAGGCAATTGGGGTTAAGTGACTTGCCCAGGGTCACACAGCTAGTAAATGTCAAGTGTTTGGTCTGAGGCCGGAGTTGAACTCAGGTCCTCCTGACTTCAAGGCCAGTATTCTATCCACTGCGCCACCTAGCTGCCCCGAGTAAGCATTTATTAAGAGCTTATTAAGCAATGAGGATACAAATGGCAAAAATACTTCTCCTAAAAGAGCTTGTATTCTAAAGGGAAATATGGAAACAACATGGAATAACAACATGGAAATAACTAAGTACATACAAGATATATCCCGAGCAGATGGAAAATTATCTGGGGATGGTATGAGCGGTTGGGGAGAGAGGGAAAGATCTACAGAAGCAGGGATTTGAGCTAATATTGAAGGAGCCAAGAAAAAATAGAGATGGAAGTGAGGAAGCAGAGTATTCTTCCTTAATGGTCAGAATCAGGTCAAGCATAGTAGTTCTTCACAATGGTCTCTCTATCTTTGACAAAGGATATTGGGAGGGCAGCTAGGTGGCGCAGTGGATAGAACACTGGCCCTGAAGTCAGGAGGACCTGAGTTCAAATGTGGCCTCAGACTCAATACTTGACACTTTACTAGCTATGTGACCCTGGGCAAGTCACTTAACCCCAATTGCCTAAAAAAGAAAAAAGAAAAAGAAAAAAGGATATTAGGGGCAGCTAGGTGGTGCAGTGGACAGAGCTCCAGCCTTGGGGTCAGGAGGACCTGAGTTCAAATTCACCCTCAGACACATAACACTACTAGCTGTGTGACTCTGGGCAAGTCACTTAACCCTGATTGCCTCACCAAAAAAAAAAGCAAAAAAGGATATTAATATTCTTTAAGTCCAATCCCCTCATTTTATAAAGTACCTGAGGTCCAGAGGGTTGGAGTGATCTACCTAAGGTCACATGACTTGACCTTAGTGACAGCCAGGACTAGAAGCCTGGATACCAGTCCAACACCCCTTGTAGAATGATATGATGCTTTCTTAGATAGAGGAGAAATGGCGTATTCTGTTAACATGCCTGTGCTAGGGCGGGAGACTTAGAACTGAGGTTGAGGTTTCTTAAGTCAAGGAATGAGGCAGTTTGGTGGCAAAGTGGATGGAGCACCAGGCCTGGAATGTAGAAGACTCATCTCCCTGAGTTCAGATCTGACCTCAGACACTTACTGGTTATATGATTTTGGGCAAGTCACTTAACTCTGCCTCAGTTTCCTCATCTGTAAAATGAGCTGGAGAAGGAAATGGCAGACCATTGCAGTATCTTTGCCAAGCAGACCCCAAAGTGGGGTCATGAAAAGTCAGACTTGACCAAAATGACTGAACAACAACAAAGGTCAGAGAAAAATTGAGTGTATGTAAATACAGGCTGTTAGATATGATCTGACATTGGATGGAATGAGAGTGGAAAGAAAAGTGGTCTGTATAACTAAAACTGTAGGTTCTAGATACCTGGGAAAGTTACGTTAGTTTCTTCCTAAATGATCAGGATACAATTTCAGAAAGAAATCTTTTTGAGGGACAAGTGTGGTTAATATTTCTTACAGTTACAAGAAATGAAAAGTAAATGAACGTACAGTAAAGAGATCTGCCTGACCTGATAGCCTGAATTCAAACACCCCCAAATTTCTTTCCCCAGTTTTTTATTTCTCAGCTTTTAAACATATTTGTCAGTGGGGATAATAGGAGAAAAGCCTTAATCTCACCAGTTTGTTCTAAGTATTACAAATGTTCTGGTAAAAGCTATTTGCCTGTCAATCTTAGGATACATTCTTACCTCTGGGTGACAATAACTCTCCAAATGAGGTAAGACCTTAAAATCACCTCCTTCCATATAGTGACAAAATATCAAAAATGCACCTGATAAAGAATTAAATCAAGATATGTGAAGATTTAAAAATGAGTTAGGAATGGTGGAAGTAGACAACCCAGCTTTTGAGGGAAAAAACACAACTAAAAAAAAGCTAGATTTACCTCCTGCCACTCTCCATTCCATTTATTTTTCTTCTTCATCAATCTTCCTGTGTAATTGATTTTCACATGACGAAAAATCTGTGTTTAAATGCTTGCTATTTGTAAAAGGTATATTTAAAGTTGAATTAAGGTAAATATTCAGAAAGCCTTTTCATAGTCCTTATTTTGATCATCTAAATTACTCCATCAGATTCCAAAATCTTTTGCTTGTAAACAACAAACTTTCTAAAGCAAACATGCACATAGCAACATTAGACTCTGTGGCAAAAAGAACAAGGCCTAAAGATAATTAGGGCACAGGCCTAAAAGGAATGTAATGAACTCAGGTTCTCTTTTGTGCAAGTCACTGCAATATTTTACACTTCAAATAATTTTGCTTTCTATGGACATTTTTATTTTTTTAGCCAAGTGTAAGATGCTATGGCTTAAAATATTGAAAATACAGGCTAACATTAGGAAATTTCTAACAGATCCACTTGATTGGACTAATATGGTTATTGTGATCTGCTGTGTTCATCTTTACTGATTTTAGTAAAAGCATTAAACTTTATTTTTTTATTTCAAAATGAAAGGAAACACATTTTTTCCTAATTTATTTAGTAACAGTTTTCCAAAAGGCATTAATACAAGATTTCTCAATTTTCCCACAACTAATACATAACAGAGTTGGGACTTAAACCTAGGTCTTCTGACAAGTTCAAAGCTCCTGCTCTGGAATTTCATTGTTTTTAAAAGGTGTTTATTTGCTATAGATAGTTATCATTTTAGCACATAGAGATAACATAAAATGTCAGCAAAAGATGGAAAAATAATGGGAGAACACTTACTTCTGATGTACTTGAACATACTGGATTTAGATGCTATCAAAGTGGCGCAGTTCATTTAATTATTGAATTTTAATTTTTGGAAGGGGAAATGTCAGTTATCCAGTCAAACCCCATTATCCTATGCATAAGGAAAGTTTAGGATGAGGCAGATTAAATCACATGACCAGGGTCTCTTGGCTCATCTGTACATTCATTTTCTCTTGTTAGAGTTCCTTGGACTAGTTAACTCACAGGTCTAGAATTTTTCCTAAGTAAGAATAATTTTTTTTCATAAAGTGTCAATTATACTAAGTACTAAGCTTTCCTTTTAGATTGAAGAGGAAAAGAAAAAGCATCAACGCAATCAAATTGAAACATTAGAGGAAAAAGATAATGACAATGTAATTGAAAATAGAACAATTGGCAAAGTTGATGAGCTGTTTCCTATGGAGAGCAATCAGCATGGTAAAGATAAGGAAAATGAAATCCCTGGGGAAGAAATTCCAATAATGGGAATTTCTTCTTCCAAGGAAAGTTCAACACCTGTGCACCATCTTTTAAAGGGGTAAGTTTTTCAGAATATTAATAGGAGTATTATTATCAAATGTTTCTATTAATGGTAAGTTCATTTAGCTTTAACAATCTGGAATCAGATTCACTGCAACAACTTCATTCTTGGTTTTGTTTTGTTTTTTGCCAAGGAAGAAATTCAGGTCCGATGAATATATATTTCTCTTTTGGTTTCAGCATATTCTTTGATTATGGGACTGTCACATCAGCATCCATCGAAGAAGGAAGGTAGGTAGCCTTTGATAAGATCTCAAAGAATAACGTGCAATATAAGATATGGATGGTAAGGAGTAAATCAAGATAATTTTCAAATGTATAAAAAGTCTTAATGAGATAGCTTATGGCTATCAAAAAAACATGGGATGGGCTCTCTTAGTAGGTAGAAGGTTCCTCATTATTAGAAGAGTTCAAGAATGAATGAATTTCTTCTTTCATAACATGGTTAATGTAGAAATATGTTTAATATGATTGTACATGTATAGCCTATATCAGATTGCTTGCTGTCTTGGGGAGGGAGAAAAAAATTTGGAACTCAGTCTTATAGAAGTGATTGTTATATATGTAATTAGAAAAAATCAATTACTATTAAGTAGAAAAAAAATAAATGAAACTGTCCTTATGAAAATAAAAGAATGGATGAATTTAAGTGCCAAGCACTGAGAATATAAATAAAAAGTCAGACAATGTAGACTCTCAAGAACCACCCACCTACCTACCACCATGTGGGGGGTGGTTGGAGGGAAAGAGTGGAGGGTTCACGTCGATAAGGATTCTGATTCTCTTCTCCAAAAATGGGACTGAGGAGAGAAAGGTTTAGCATCCTTTCAGGATGGGGGAAGAAAAAAAAAAGACTTGGCAAAAAGGTAGAGAGAAGCTCTCATGTAGGCCTTGCTACATAAGGACCTATACTGCTCACAAGGGCACTAGAAAGACTGAGCAAGAGCAAAACGCAGATAACTGCTACCTGCTGCCCCACAAAAAGAAAAATCATAGGACAATAAGATGACAGATGACAACCTGACAGGAATGTGGCAAAGAGGATTGACATTGCAAGTCTAGATGGTACTAGATGACTCTAGAGCTCCATGTCATAAGAGTGTGAACCTGGAAATGTTCTAGATTGACATTTAGAAAGTAAAGAATGTAGAGAAGCAAGGCCTAATTTACTTTCATTAACTTGTTAACAATTAATTTAAGCATACTGTAGGATAATGAATTTCAAGAGCAAAAATTATGTAAGTTCAAGAAGATAGTATTTATACAAGGATAACATATGTGACAAGCACTGAAAAAAGGCATCTTTCTTTGCCTCACTGTTGGTACTCTATATTGTGACCTCAGAGTCACTCAGACAGAAAGTTGTCTACTTTTCCCTTGATTAGCCAAAAGTGGCCATACTAAACTCATTTGCAAGAGACAGTAAAGCCATGGGCAGTTGAGAGAAAGAACACTTTTGTTTTAATTGTCATGTTTTCTTTCTGTATCATCCTCATTTCCCAATACATCTTTCCTCACCCTTCCAGAGAAACAAAAAACAAAAAGGAAAATACAGTCAACACAACTAACTGCCACATCAGTATTTCATGCAGTATTCTATATGGATAGTCTTCCACCCTGCATAAAGAGAGAAGGAGGTTCCTTCTCATCTAGACCAAGCTTGGTCATCATAATTTCACAACATTCAGTTCCAGTTGTTTTATTGTCCTTAATATTTACATTATTGCAGTTATGATTGATATTATTCTCTGGTTGTTCTTTAATTTTTTTATTAATTTATTTTGATTTATCAACAATCACTTCAATAAGTGTTTGAGTTTTAAATTCTCCCCCCCACTCCCCACCTCCCTCCCCAAAATGGCACACAATCTGATATAGGCTATATATATACATTCATATCAAACATATTTTCACATTAGTGATGTTGTAAGGAAGAATTAAAACCAATAGGAGCAACCACTAGAAGGAGAAAACAAAACGGAAGACAAAATAGCAAATAGTATGCTTTGGAATGTGTTCAAAGATAGCTCTTTCCTTGGATGTGGATACAATTTTCCATCATGAGACCTTTGGAAATGTATTAGATCCTTATATTCCTGAGAAGGGCTAGTTTATCACCATTAGTCCTCGCACAATGTGGCTGCTACTGGGGACAACATTGTCCTGGTTCTGCTCACTTCACTCAGCATCAGTGCGCACAAGTCTTCCAGGTTTTTCTGAAGTCCACCTGCTATAAAATTCTTATAAATAGCACAATAGCATTCCATTACACGCATATACCACAACTTATTCAGGCCATTCCCCAAACAATAGCCATACTCTCAATTTCCAGTTCTTTGCTACCACAAAAAGAACTGCTATAAATATTTTTGTATCGTGGATCCTTTACCCATTTGTATGATCTCTTTGGAATACAGCCCTAGAAATGCTATTGCTGGGTCAAAGAGTATGCACATTTTTTAGCCCTTTGGGCATAGTTCCAAATTGCTCTCCTAAATAGTTGGATCATTTCACAACTCCAACAACATTGCATTAGTGTTCCAGTTTTCCCACATGTTCTCCAACATTTATCATTTTCCTGTTTTGTCGTGTTGGCCAATCTGATAGGTGTGATGTGGTGCCTCAGAGTTGTTTTGATTTGCATTTCTATAATCAATAGTGATTTAGATCATTTTTTTCATATGACTATAGATGGTTTTAATTTCTTCCTCTGAGAACTGCTTGTTCATATCTTTTGACCATTTATCAATTTGGGAATGACTTGTATTCTTATAAGTTTGACTTTAGTCTTTATATGTTTTAGAAATGAAGCCCTTGTCAGAGATACGGGTTGTAAAAATTATTTCCCAATTTTCTACTATCCTTCTAATCTTGGTTGCATTGGATTTGTTTGTGCCAAAACTCTTCAATTTAATGTAATCAAAATTATCCATTTTGCATTTCATAATGTTCTCTGTCTCCTGTTTGGTCATGAATTCTTCTGTTCTCCATAAAGCCCATAGGTAAACTATACCTTGCTTTCCCAGTTTACTTACAGTATCAGTCTTTTTATTTTCATCATGAACTGATTTTCACTTTATTTTGGGATATGATATGAGATTTTGGTGTCTGCCTAGTTTCTGCCATACTCTTTTCCAGTTTTCCTAGCAGTTTCTGTCAAAGAGTGAGTTCTAATCCAAGAAGCTGGTCTTTGGGTTTATCGAATAATAAGTTACTATAGTCATTGGCTACTGTGTCTTGCATACCTAACCTAATCCACTAACCCACCACTCTGTTACTTAGCAAGTCCCAAGTAGTTTTGATGATTGTTGGTTTATAATACAATTTAAGATCTAGAACAGCTAGGCCACCTTCCCCTGCATTTCTTTCCATTAGTTCCCTTGACATTCTTGACCTTTTGTTATTCCAAGTGAATCTCATCTATAGATAAAATATTTTTTGGTACTCTGAACGGTATGGCACTGAATGAGTAAATTAAGTAGAATTGTGATTTTTGTTATATTAGCTGGGCCTACCTGTGAGCAATTGGTGTTTTACCAATTATTTAGATCTGACTTTAATTGTGTAGAAAGTGTTTTGTAATTTTGTTCATATAGTTCCTGGATTTGTTTCAGCAAGTAGACTCCTAAATATTTTATAATGGCTACAGTAACTACAGGAACAGTATAATGTCTACAGTAAGTTTAAATGGCATTTCTCTTTGTATCTCTTTCTGTTAGGCTTTGTTGGCAATATATAAAAATGCCTATAACTTATGTGGATTTACTTTATAGCCTGCAATCTTGCTAAAGTTGTTTATTATTTCAAGTAGCTTTTTACTTAATTCTTGAGGACTCTCTAAGTATATCATCATATTGTCTGCCAAGAGGGATAGCTTTGTTTCTTCTTTGCCTATTCTAATACCTTTAATTTCTTTTTCTTCTCTTATTGCTAACACTAATCTTTCCAGTATGATATTGAACAACAGGGGTGACAATGGACATCCTTATTTCACCCAGTTCTTATTGGAAATGCTTCTAGCTTGTCCCCATTACATATGATGCTTGCTGAAGGTTTTATGTAGACTCCATTTATTCCTATGCCCTCTAGTGTTTTTAATAGGAATGAGTGTTGTATGAGTATAATCTTTTAGGAGAAAAATGGATATTCAGTGAATTGGAGCACTTTAAAGCAATCTTGATGAAAAGACAAGAGCTGAATAGAAAATTTGACTTTTAAATACAAGAATTAAGAGAAGCATGAAGAGGTAAACAAGAAAGAGAAACCATAAGGGACTTATTAAGGTTGAACTATTTACAATCCTACATGTAAAAATGATATTGGTAACTCATGAGACCTTTGGGTAGATTTGGTAGGATTCAGGATCTGGGTAGTTGGAGGGGAAAATATATATATATATATATATGTGTGTGTGTGTGTGTGTGTGTGTGTGTATGTATGTATATGTACATCTATGTATATATGTATAGATAGATGGATATAAATTGATTGATAGATAGATAGAGGGTACAGGATGAGTTGAAGATGAATAGGTGATATCTGGAGAATAAAATTAAGGGGTGAGAGAGGATTTTACTGGGAGAAGGAGAAAGGGAGAGGTAGAATGGGATAAATTATCTCACATAAAAAGACAAGAAAAGGCTTGTACATGGAGGGGAAGTGGGGGAAGGTGAGAGGGAATGAGTGAATCTTATTCTCATCAGATGTGGCTTAAGGAGGGAATAACATGCACACTCAATTGGGCATGGAAAGCTATCTTACCCTACAGGAAAATAGGAGGGATTGGAATAAGTGAGTGTGGAATGATAGAAGGGAGGGCTGATTGGGAGAGGGGTTAATCAGAAACAAATACTTCTGAGGAGGGACAGGGTCAAAAGAGAGAATAGAATAAAGAGGGGGCAGGATAGGATGAAGGGAAATATAGTTAGTTTTCCACAGCATGACTACTATGGAAGCGTTTTGCATGACTCTGCAAGTATAAACAGTATCAACTTCCTTTCCTTCTCAATGAGGGAGGGTGGGGAGGCGGAGGGGAGAAAATTTAGAACTCAAAATTTTCAAAACAAATGTTAAAAATCGTTTTCATATGCAACTGGGAAATAAGATATACAGGCAATGAGGTATCTTGTCCTACAGGAAAATAGAAGAGGAAGCAGATAAGAGAAGGGAGGGAGATAGAAAGGAGGGTAGATTAAGGAAAAGGGTATTCAGAATGCACACTGTTTTGGGCTTGGGGAAGGACGAGACGGGGAGAGTATCTGGAACTCAAAATCTTGTGAAAGTGAATGTTGAAAACTAAAACTAAATAAATTAATGGAAAAAAAGAATTATTACAAACTGTGGCAGATGTTTGTTTTTTTTCCCCCCAATAATCTTTCTTTGATACCTTATCAGAGTGGGAAGGTGAAGATCTGTAAAAGCTGTGTCAACAGAGCAACAGGCAGGTTTGTGAGGTCCATTAAAGTTAGGATCAAAGAGCAGTCTTTCACATGTGTGATTGTTAATTGCTCAATGGTTTGTGTGTGTGCATGCATACACACACACACACACACACACACACACACACAGAGGAATGTGTTAACTCTAAAGGTAGTCTATTCCTCTTTAAATAAGTAATTGCTTGGAAGTTGTTGGCTTTTGTTTTTCATGTATTGATCCTAAATGTGCTTCTCTGCCCCTAGTCCTACCCTTTAGGGGACAATTAAACATGAGAGCCTTTCATATATATGAATACATATTCCACCTCTCCCTGTCTTCCCAACTCTTCATCTTCTCTTCTCTTGGATAAACATCGGCAATGTCTTCAGCTGCTCTTTATTTTACATCTTCATTCTTCTTCATCCTGGTTTCTCTTCTGTGAAGATATTCAGAGTTTTAAATGTCTTTCCTAAAATATATCTCCCTAAAATGAGCACAGTCCCTCAAATATATTTTGATCAAAACATAGCATAAGGAAACTGTCACCTCCCTTCTTCTGCATTCTATGCCTCTTAGAATTCAACATGCAGTCATATTAACTTTTTGGACTTTCTCTGGCATTGTTGGCTCATATCAAGCCTACCTTCTATCAGACTTCCTAATATTTTGCACATAAATTGTCTAATCGCAACTACCCAGTTGTCGACAGTTGTTGTCTTTTAGCCCAAGTGTAGTCAGTAAATGAGGGAACATTTTAGATGAAGAAAACTCATTCTATGAAGTTTTGGAGCAGAACCTATTCGTAGACTAGAGAAAACAGAAATCTGACTAGAATGGACCTTGCACTCTGAGAAGCAGTGTTCAGAACCTCTGTTGGATTAATAAGGCAGGCCTGAATATAAAGGAACTTCACAGCCAGGCAGTTCAGATTTGATGTACATTAAAAGAGAGTAGCCATCTGGGAAATAAGCTCAAAGGCTTATTTAAGGAAGGCTAATCTGGAAGCCATATATTTTCCCCGTCATTTTCTTATCAGTTTTCAATAAAGAACAATTTAAGCATCCCGTCATGGATGTTTTTTCAGCAATGATTTGGTCATGCATAAGAAAAGAGTAAAAAAGCCTCAAAACGATAAATGGACTTCAGAGGATCCTGGTATGAATTCATCTTGTGAAAAAGTGAATTCCTTAACAGATATCCTACTCCATGTTCCTGAAGACAGCCCTTTAAGCGAAGCAGAACGTGACAAAGAAAGGCACAATGTTACTGTATTTCCTCATGGAAAAATATTAGCAATGTGTACTTTTGGTAGTTGTAGAAGACTGATGTCCTGTTGTTCTTTATTCTGACAGTGTTGAGACATATGCACATGAGCACTTTCACTGCAAGCAACTATATTCCAAATGCCAGAAAATGTAGCTATAATGGTAAAGCTTAGACACCCAGACTCCCTTTGATATACATGCCACATTACTTGCCCCTGTTTGACAGTTGAAATTCTTGTTTTCTTCAACATAGCAAAACAGTCCCAGTGATAATGCACTCCATTTTGCTCATTGTGGTGACAGAACACAGCAGGACAGACATTAGTCCATAGGAATGTGGTTTTCACCACGCCTAAACACTAGTGGAAGGATACCATACTTGGAGTCAGGAGATAAGGTTTTAGATTTCACTCTATTACTGTCATAGCATAGATTTAGAATTGTAAGGCACGATAGGGATCGTCTGTCCAGCCTCTTTATTTCAGAGATCAGGAAAACGGACTCAGAGAAGCTTAGTGGTTTGCCTACCCTCACACAAGTAAAAGAGGCAGAACCAGTGTTTCAACCTGGGTTTTCTGACTCTAGATTCCATCCACTTTCCACTGCACCACGTTGCCAACATTAGCAGTGAGGCACATACATTTGTAAAATGGGGATAATAATACTTGCATTATCAACAGGATTGTTGTACGGAAAGTTATTTGTAAAGTGCTATAGAAATGTGAACTATAATTAGCCATTCAATAAATATGTTTTTCTTGTGTGCAGAGTATTCTACTAGTGATTGCTGTTATTACAATATACACAGTGTATTGTGTTTAATTTATAATTATGTGAATGTAGGAGGTGATTAAACCCCTGGAAGGGATGGAACCAATTTGCTTTCCCTAGACCCAAAATTACTTACTTCTAACTGCTTTTTCTATCTCTAGTTTATTGGGTATCCTCTGATTGGGTCACTGATGTTAGTATATTTTGCTATTTTTAAAACCCCTGTAAAAAGCCAACCATTCTTTTATAGAATTTCTATCTCTGAATTTTGTTATACTACTTAATCATATTGAAGTTTGATATTCAGGACTGCAGAGGGTTCATGTATAGTCTCATCAACTTGAATACTTTCTCTAGAGGGGAAGATTGTGGCTCCTCATCCTGTCAGAGTAATGTTCATATTTCTTCCACAAAGGTCCATCCAATGTGCTGGTAAACTTCTTCAGAAAGCATTACTCACATACAATGTGAAGAGCCTTATGTCAGGCCCTGGAATAGAAGGGTGATTAGACAGTCTCTGACTTCTTGGAGCTTGCAGTATAGGAAATAGAACACACATACATCTAACTTGAATTAAAAATTATGTTGGTTACCATATATAATATTTTCTAAGATTTAAAATACATTCAAAGATAATGGACATAACTTATATAATATTTGTTAATGTCTCAGTTCATACCAGCTATTGTTATGGTATACTGCTGAAATTCTTGTTACTCTGTAATCTTAATAACAGTGACTTTGGCATACAAACAATTGAAAAAATAAATCATTGTTATATCACAAATTATGAATGTTTGGCTGACATTTATTTTGAACGCAATCCACACTTTTATTTATGGGAAGGAATTCTGATGTTACTTATAGTTTTTGTTTTAAAAACTTTTCAAGAGCAAAGATAAGCATATATTATAAATTAGGGCTACCAAATTAAATACTCAAACATTCTATATATTATGTGATTGGCTTGTAACATAAAAAAGCACGCGATTTTCAAATAGGCATATATTAAATCAAGCAGTTACAATGATAAGAAACTTGATTTCTATTTTGTTTGTTTATATTCACACTGAAAAGAATTTTTTGTCTTTTAGGCCTTCAAAGAAAACATCGAATGAAAAGAACAAGGTACTGTAAAAATGCCAGAAATATAAATTGGTTTAGAAAATAATGCATGTTTCAGGGGACATATACGACTTCTTTTTTGCATTATAAATTATAGGAGTCTTTAATCTGTAAATGCATACTTTTAGGAATTCTCTGCTAGTGAAACATGTCCATTGTGAATGGTAGAAAATGAATTATGTTGCTGGATTTTTCCCTCATTTTCCCCCATAAATAAAATGAAGATTATCCTCCGTAAGAGACATTGTGACTATTTATGATGATTTTCATAAGGTCCTAAATAATTCAGCTTCTAGGTAGTGAAGGACCATTGTTGATAGAGTCAAGAAGACCTGAGTTGAAATCCGTCCTTGGGCTCCTAGCTAGCTGTATGATCCTGGACAAGTCACCTAATCTCTTTTAGCTTGTTTCTTCATTTCTAAAATAATTATGAGTAGTGCTTATCTCACAAAATGTTTGTGAAGATGCCGTGATATGATGTATGTAAATTGCTGTGGAAACCTTAAAGTGTTACACAAATGTTAGCCATTGTTATTACTGTTTGGTTTTTGTTGTTTTATAGTGCTGTTACATATTTTATAGGACAAAGTACAGATGGATGCAGATGGTCTTGAGGCCCTCCTCACTGAGTCTTCTGACACAGCTACAGAGAATTATGATTTACCTCCTTTCAACTGTAAGAATGTTTTGTTGTTGATTGACCAACATAGGGTTGATTGTAAAGGTAAGAATATTCTTAAATTTCCTAACAGAATACCAGTGTTAAACAGAAAACAAAGATGTGAGTATATACAAGAAGATACCACTGAAGTCCTGTTCCATTAACTCATACTAAAGTAGATTTGGCTTTGGATTCTTGGAGGCTAATGTCAGACATTGGAGCCTAATCTCTGGCAGGCCTTGCCAAGGTAAAAGTGATTATGGTGGCTTCAGGGTGATGAATTTTTCGGCCACAGAAGATGACCTTCTGTTTGTTGCAATTCAAAAAGAAATATTAAGTACCTACTGTGTGCTATACCCACAAAGTTTAGATAAGACGCAGTCCTTGTCCTCACTGAGTGTGCAATCTAGTAGGGGGATACAGTCTACCTAGATAACTCTAATATTAAAAAATACACATATACTTGAGAAGTACAGTCATATTGCTATGTGAGGTACAAAGTGGGAAAGAATATTAACTATCCAGAATCAAAATAACCTCTGTGTGAACAGTACCATTGGAGGTGAGTTTTAAAGGATGGGTAGAAAATCTGTGGGAATCATGGGAGTGAGTATAAGGTGATGAAGTGAGCATTTGAAGAAAGAGAACTATTAGCAAGGAGGCAGGAAAATGACAGTGAAAATGGAATTTTCCTGGATGGGATATAGCCGTAAGAAGTAAATATGGAAAGGCAGGGTGTTACAAACTTGTAGAGGGCCTAGGTTGGTGTCTATAGACAAATCCCTTAAACTTGCAGCTTCAGTTTCTTCATCTATAAAATACCTTACTGCAAAGGATTGTTGTGAGCCTATATGTGCTATATTATTAACACATGTGAGTTATTAATATTGAATGCTAGGACAAGGTGCATGAATTTTATTTGCTTGATTGACAGTAGATAACCTTTGAAGAGACTGACATGACTAAATGCATGAAGATAACAGGCAGTGATCTGTTTTATGGAAAGAATATCCAAAATATTAAATTATTTCACTAAATAGTCAAAAATGTCAACAATCTCACAACTGTTCTGCCTGGTTTTTATAATTCTCCTGTCAGCCTGGCATATAGGCTAATGTACTGGACATAAAGCCAGGAATACCTATGTTATACACCTGCTACCTGTGTGAATCTCAACAAGTCTTTTAACTTCCCTGTGCCTTAGTTTCTTCTTTTGCTTTGAATCTTTGAACTTATGACTTCCCTTACTGTCAGCTTCACCACCCACCACGATAACTGTGTCTACCTCTAGCAACCCTGTTCTCTCCTTGTTGCTTCAATTCTGCTAAACACTGAGATGTATGAAGAATTGAACGTTGCCAAGGGAAACCTGACCACCAAATCTCTTGAATCTGTAACTTCACATAACACACATTGCTAACTCTGGATTAGGTCTCAATTTGGCTCTGTATCTCTCTGTAGAATAAAGTGCCTGGGTTTTATGGTTGCTATTTTCCTTAATGCTTAGAATATTTTTTCACTTTCTTCTGGTGTCTCAGTTGTATTTTACTTAAAGTTACCAAAAGTCTGGCCAGTGAAAAAATGAGGATGGATGTTGCTGTATGAATGTTACATACAGATTTATATTCTAAGTCCCGAAGGGAGAAGCAGTGTTAACATATAAGTATTTAGTGTGAAATGTAGTTATGATATTTATAAAATAATTCAGCATGTTTGCAATAAATAGATATTAAATGTATAATCCATTTTATCTTATTTGTCCCCCCCCAGAGCACACATCAGAATGTTTACTTTTCACATATATTTTCCCATATTTTGAAGAATTCTGAGGCTTCAAATGGTTTTTTATGAAGTTATATGTAACTTAGAGATTCTTTTTAATTGTCCACAATGCCCACAGCGAAATAGGTTATTTTCAAATTCAGTGTAAATCTTTTGACAAAATATTTCGGTGTATCCTTAGGATTTATATGTGGAATCTGAATTCTAAGTATACTGCTATTGTACTGCAGATTTTAAAATACTCATATCTCTTTACTTGTGTTTTTCTCTGTATAGATCCTATTAGCCTCTTGAAAATTCGGGATGCAGTTCTTAGATTTGGACAATCAATAGAACTTTAAAAAGGACATTATACACTACTCACTGGAAAAGTTAAGAGTTTAGAAAACAAGATCAGTGGACTATGGGAAGAATTATCAGAAACAAAAGAAATGAGTTCCCAGTTAGAGCATCAAAAAGCAGAACAGGATGGAGAAATCTGTAGACTCAGGTATCTAACTCATGAGTTTCAATAAAGACTTGAAAGCATTTCTCTTATATTGAAGCACTGTGAGAGAGGATTTGGGGTTAGGAAGGAAAAAATGGCACATCTTTAAAATAATAATATAATGAGCCGTACTTAATCCCTTTTATTTTATGGACATCTATGAGATGCATTTTTAGTGAATTTTCAAAACTGTACCACAATTGGAATTTTTTTTTTCAAAACATAGTAAAAATCAACTCTGAATAATCATTAGTAATGGGAAAACGGATGAGGGAATTGTAGAAATCATTCCTATACCTTATTTTAGGCAGGAATTTTATCTACATTTCCATTTAAACATTTTTTAGTATTTTATTTTTGTTTTTCCTCAGTTACATGTAAAAACAATTTTTAGCATTCATTTTTAGAACTGAGTTCTAAATTCTCCTTTTCTCCCCCCCAACATGCCCTCATTGAGAAGGCAAGCAGTTCTATACAGTTTATCCATGTGTAGTCATGTAAAACATATCCATAATAGTCATGTCGTGAAAGAAAGCATAGAGAAAATAAAACTGAAAATAAAGGGGGAAAAAGGATTTCAATATGTATTGAGACGCCATCAGTTTTTTCTCTGGGGACGGATAGCATTTTTCATCCTAAGTCCTTCAGAATTGTCTAGGATGATTGTATTCCTGAGAATAGCTAAGTTTTTCACCACTGTTTTTTGTTCACAATATGGCTGTTATTTTGTACACAATATATTTCAGTTTACATCAGCACACGAACGTCTCTCCAGACTTTTTGAAAGCATTGAAAGCATCCTGCTCATCATTTCTTATAGTACAATAGTATTCCATCCTAATCATATGCCACAATTTGTTCAGCCATACCCCAACTGATGGGTATCCTCTCAATGTCTGATTCTTTGCCCCCAAAAAAGAGCTGCTATAAATATTTTTGTACATCACTCTCATTTCTCTTTCCAGTTTTCCCTCTACTTCTCTTATTTGAGTATCAAAATCCTTTTTGAGCTCTTCCATGGCCTGAGACCAATTCATATTTTTCTTGGAGGCTTTGGATGTAGGAACTTTGACTTTGTTCTCTTCTTCAAAGTATGTGTTTTGATCTTCCTTGTCACCAAAGTATGTATAGTCTAAGTTTTTTTTTCCATTGTTTCCTTATTTTCCCAGCCTATGTTTTGACTTTTGACGCTTTGTTAAAGTAGGGCTCAGCTTCAAGGGTTGGAGGTCATACTGTCCCAAGCTTCAGGGGTTTTGTGCAGCTGTTTCAGAGATATTTCTAGGGATCTGTAAGTTTTCAATTCTTCCAAGTAATGTGAGCTAAAGATAGGTGTTTACTCCTCTCCTGGTCTGTGCTGGGATCTGTGAGCAACCACAACCACTCTTTTCTACCCTGGAATTGTAAGGAGGGTCCCTCCTCCACTGTGGCCACAAGCTTGGCTATGCTACTGCTCTTCCTCGCAGTGGGACTGCCACCCCGTACTGTGACCCAGATCCAGTATGGGCAAAGCAACAGAGGCCTGCCTCAGTGTTAGCCCAAAGACCCCTATACTCCTTCTGAAGAGTTCTTGGACCCCCTTGCCCTCTGTGGGCTGGGCTGAGAGCTCCGGAGGCAACTGCTGCAGCTGCTGATTCAGTCAGTCTCAAGGCCTGCTCCTGATTTCCTGAGCCTGGGGCTGGTCTAGGCTGGTGCATTCTGTGCTGCACTGTGCTCCTCTCTCACCCTGGTGCAACAGACCTTTCCTGCCCACCTTCCAAGTTGTCTTGGGCTGGAAATTTTTTACACTTCATCTTTTTGTGGGTTCTGCTGCTGTAGAATTTCTTTAGCCATTTTTCAAAGGGATTTGAAGGGATTTGGAGGAGAGCTCAGCCTAATCCCAGCCATTACTCCACCATCTTGGCTTTGCCTCTGTCTCTAAATTTTACCAGAGTCATTGAGATGTATCAAAATTCAGGAATTTTGAAAAAGTCATTTCCTCTAGCTCCTCTTTAGTACAGTTCAATAGCATTTTAAAGCTAAAAAGGCAGGCAGGGAAGGAGGGAAGTAGGTGGACATATGTATCCAATTTATGGAATTTTTCTTCATTGAATACAGAAAGTCAAAGCACCCAAAAAACTATATGATACATTTTTGATAGAAGTTTAATGCCCTGGAGTAGCCTGGGTAGAGAAATGGCTTCATGTTTCATTTCTGACACATCCTGACTGTGTGAGCCTCAAACAAGTGATATAAATACTCAATAACCCCAAGAACTATCTAAGGCTCAGAGTTGCAAAGCAGGGACCAATATGCATCAGTAGAAGGAGTTTCCTGATGGTGAGTTTTCTACACAAATCCAGTTCCCCTCAAATTAATGTTCTTTTCCTTTAGAGGTCCAGATGAATATAATTAAATGTCATTATGTTCCTTATTTCTATTGAACTGTGATTTTTTTAAAAAAAGCAATTTGAATCTAGGTTTACACTGAAGCAAGAGAAAGAAAAGCAAATGACTGCAGAAATGGTATTTGAAAACATAAGAGGACAGTTAAGAAGACTACATGAACAATATAGTAAAGATGTGGAGCTAAAACAAGAACTTGAATTTATTCTTAGAAATCTGGACGTTGAACTAAAAAGAGTAAGAAATAATTTGAAACAGGCAAATTGGAATTTAAAAGTCAATATTTCCATCTTGTCATAGTTAAGAATATTTATGGGTTCCCTGGGAGTGGGGAGGTAAATGCTGTGAAGTCTTTTTAATCCTAAAGAAGGGCTATGGTATTTATAGTTAGTATAAGTAAATAGGCCTCAATCATTCATAAATATGTAAAGAAAAATAAAGAAAAAAATCCCTTATTTTACCATTTGAATGTAAAATTACAGGCTAAATGGGCATGGGAAAGGTAAGACGGAGCTAGTACTTTTTGAAGTGTCTCACAGTAGAAAATCAGTATGGTACAGTGGTTAGATCTGGCCTCAAATTGAGGAAGACCCGGGTTCATGTGTTGGCCCTGACACATCTTGACTGTATGACCCTGGGCAAATCATTTTACCTGAGCCCAGGCCAGAGGTTTCAAACTCCCCAAAAGCTACCCATAAAACAGTACTGGGGGGATTGGTTTGACATCACTACTCTGTCCTCAGCCTCCTTAAGACTCTAAGTTTCAGAGAACTTCTCTACCTTGCTAGAAGGAGTTTCCTTACCTGAAAAATCTCTAGGCTAATGAAATTTCAGGTTCAGTCCTTCTCATTTCTTTACATTCCACTTTACCACACATCCTTCAGTCTTTCAGAAAAGTTTATTATTCTCTAGTATCTTTGGCTCTTACTTATGCAATTCAAATTATCCAAGCCTTTCTAAATGGAAGGAAGGCAAAGTCTTAGGGCAGAGCACTGGACTGAACCCACTAATAAGATGTAATTCAGTAAGAATTAAGGTAAAGTTTTATAATTAGGTACAAAAAATTAACATCACAAGCATAAGTTGGAGGAAATATGATTAGATAGCATTTTGCCTGAAAAGATGTAAGCGTAAGTGAGTCAGTGCTGTTATTTGGCAACCAAAAATCTGATGTAATTTTGCATTGCATTAAGAGAAGTATAGCTTCCAAAACCGAGGAGGTAAAAATGCTTCTGTACTAAAACATAATCAGACCTAGCCTGTATCATTTTGTTCATTTGTGGCTACCACAGAATTATGGTAGCTAGTAAGCAGAGAAGGAATAAAAATATGTGCAACAAGAGTAAATTTCACTTAGATTTCTAACAGAAGGCTCTATATATGACAAGGATTCATTCATTCACATTCACTATTGCTCAGTATGATAGAAAAACACAAGTTCATCAAATACCAAATTTAAGATCTTTTCTTTTTGTTTTTTCAACAGTGGTTTGAAGTAAATCATTCAAGCTATTGGCCCTTGGTAATCTTTTGTTACCTGGGCACTGGAGTGCTTCATTTAACTCAATTGCTCCCTATTCATACCTTTCTCCTGTCTTTATACAAGGGATCTCATAGAATGGGGCTCCTGAGCTTGTTGATAACAGCTGTTTCCACCAGTCCTGAATGGGGACAAATGCTCCTGGACCGGTTTTACTCTGATGGGAATGCCAAATCAACTTTTTATAATTTGGCATCAGTAATGCTTTCATTATTCCTTTAAACTTTCATGGTTAGGGTTAGGTTATCATCTATTGATCCCACTCTGGGCCTCACTTTTCCCATCCCTAAAATGAGAAGTTTGGAGTAAATAATCTCTAAAAGTTCTAAATCAGTGATGCTCTGAAAATGCTACAGATCTGTCAGAGAACAGATTGTTCTTAAGATGTGCACTAAGAAATTCTAAGACTGTTATCACTTCATTTGTCTGCAGTTAAGATACTTTTACCAGGACAATGACTCTAACTGTAGGACAACTGCTCCTCTTCAACACCTAGGAGGAAATTAGCTGTTGGAAAAGAGTGCTAGATTTGGAGTCTGAAGAGACCTGAATTCAGATACTGCTTCTAATACTTACTAGGTGTGACAGTGAGCAGGTTATTTAATAACTTCTCCTAACCTAAGTCCTAATCTGTAAAATGGAGAGAATATTATGAGTATTTCCCTCATAAGGGTGTTGCAAGGCTTATATGAGATAATGTCTTGAAAGTACTTTGCAAAGTACTTTATAAGGCCTCTGTAAATATTAGGTGTTGTTATTTTTATCATAATACCATGCACAGCCAGTGTGGGATCAAATGGATATCGCAAAGGAAATAAAATATGCTGAAAGGCAGACAGATTTAGGGGTCTAAAAATACAGGGTTTGTAAAATGTAGTCTGTATCATATAGTGAAATGCTTATCTGTTTTGAGGTCTGAATAGCTGAAGTACGTGTTTTCTAATTGATGTAGCATTTTTAAGATATGTTCTTTCAGAAAATTGAGTCTCACAGAAATGTGAAATAGGTGAAACCCACTCAATTTATGTATTCTTTGAGTACATGATGCTTCTTGGCCCCTTGGGATTTAGTTTTATTTACTAAGCAAAAATTAGGATGCATAATTTTATTTTGAGTAGCAACTTTTTTTTTCCTCTTCATCGTGTTTAGGTTCCTGATAGCAATGAAAAAGAAAAATATCTGCTCCATAAAAATCAAACCCTACAGGATGAAGCTGCCATGTTTAAACTAGAGTTAGACAGAGTGAAAATTAAGAATTAGGAGAAAGAAAATAAATATACAGAAGAAAATAAAGTTTTGAAAGAAAAGAATGATGAGCTTCAAAAGGAATTAAAACTGAATAAAGAAGCATTAACAAAAACAATATCCCAGTACAGCGGACAAGTAAATGTTCTGACCACTGAGAATGCAATCCTGAACTCTAAATTGGAGAATGAATAACAAAACAGAGACAGACTAGAGACAGAAATTGAATCATACCATTCCCGTCTGACTTCTGCTATTCGTGATCATGAACAAAGTCAGACATCAACATGGGACCTTGAACATACCTTTCAGCGAGAACGAGATGAGTGGTTTCTTTTACAGGACAAACTAAATTACGACTTATCTAGTCTAAGAGAGAAGAATGGTGTCCTTTCTCAAGAGCTCTCTAAAGCTGAAAGTAAAGCCAGTAGTTTAGAAAATGAACTACACCATGTACATGATTCTGTCAGAGAAAAGCCACTAATTTCAGAAAGCACACAGACAGAATTAAACCAGGCCCAATATAAAGCAAAGGAACTGGAAGAGACAAATCAAATGAAAATGAAAAAACTGAACACATATGTCATCAAAGAAGAATGTATCCAAGAAAGATTAGCCCAAATCCAGAGTGAAAATATGTTGCTTCGGCAACAGCTTGAAGATGCCCAAAACAAAGAAGTTCTTAAAGAAAAGGTTGTTGAGTGATACTATTGATCTCTTCAATAAAGTTCGTGCTGATATGGAAAAGCAAGTTCTTCTGGTAGAAGGCAGAAATAAAATAAAGAGTTAATCAGTGAATGTAACCACTTAAGAGAACAAATGTGTAAATATGAAAATGAGAAAGCAGAAAGAGAGGTAGGTCTTCAAATAATATAATTTGATAAGCATTTAACTTTTTGAAGTGAAATTCAGAATGATTTTGATCAAGGTAAATTAGAAATTTGAATCTTCTGCAGGCAGATGATGTTATTAACTTTGATTGTAAAAATTCTGACATGTAAGAAAGGAGAATGAGGAAGCAATAACATGATAAAAATCAACCTGTTATCCATCTTTTAGATAAGATGACTCACTTTGCTTAAAAATATTATGTAGCCCATGAAATTTTAAAGGCAGAGAGTTGGTTTAATAAAGGTAGATGGAGTTAGTCACTTCTCAATAAATACTGATAAATTTGTAATTCTAATAATATTCCATTTCAATGTTCAATAGAATAAATTATTTGAAATGCTAAAACTTCAGATAAATCATGAAAACTTATGCTAGTGATAATATAACAATTCAAACCTGAATTGAGATACTGTGGGATATTATAGTTATCCTTTTCATAGTCATTTAAACAGTTTATCAATCTGACTTATTTTAATTCAAACTACTTTGAACAAATTTTAGAAATATCAAACACTGAATCATATTATAATGAAATTCCAAAGACTAGCAACTACTCTCCTTTAAAATTTAGGACGGCAATTCTGTTCAAAAAGATTATGATTGTGCATCAAGCATCCATTTTTTTTAAAAAATGTGTTTTTGTTTTCTCACTACATATTTTTTTTATTTTCTCAATATTTTTACTAACACCTCTTGCTTAATGTCCAAAATTGCAGTTTCTGGGATCACTACCTTTTATTTGTTGAAGACAGATAGCTTTTAACAGTCTGATAACAATTCTCATTATCTGTGATTTT